CCCGGGCGATGCGGGGGGCCGCAGAGACCCGCCCCTCCGCCGGACCTCACCGGGGAGCCGAGGCTGGAGACCCGCACGCAGAGGGGGGAAGCGCGGGCTGCAGGAGTCAGTGCCGCCGCGCCGAGGCGCCCGGGCCGACGGGAAGCGGAGGATGCCGGGAACTGTAGTCCCCGCCTCGCGTCACCTGCGGCCGCCCTGCGCGCTGGGCCGCGGTGATAAGAATCCACCCCGCCCCGAAGGGCTGGTGGAGCGGGCCGGGCGGAGCCCGAGGGCTGTGGCTGCCAAAGGAGAGATAAAAGCGGAGTCCTCGTCACGCACAGCCGTCGGTCAGCCGGGGACTCGTGCAGACCCCGCCGGGCTGGGGGGTTAATGGGACACGCCCGCCGGCCGCCTTACAGGGCCACCCGGGGCTTGCAGAAAGCCGGGGTCTGAGCTCTGGGATGCCTTTCACCCAGCCCTGGGAAGGGGGAGGGGGGTGCTGGGAAACCTGCCCGAGGCTGTGAAGGAGGAGTCAGAAGGGACCGCTGAGGGCTCCTAAAAGAATCCCAGGAAAAGACTTCCTTCTGGGGCCAAGTCCACATCCCGAGTCCGCTGATCCTTAAAAACATAAATCTTTCCAGGCCTTGTCTCTGCTGTGTCCACTTTTCACAGACAGGAAAAGCGAAATGATTGTTTGACTTAGAGCAGGTTAGGAATCTGCAGCTACTCGTTTGGGGATTAAGAAATAGTTAAAAATCCTTATCCAGCTACGGTAGAATGCTGACAACATTAACTGCGTACAATTCACCTAATTTACCTAAGCAAGGTACATATCCACACTCCAAACCACCTTTCACCTGCTTCCCTTCTCCCACCCCTCCACACTTGAAAACCATCAGGTAGTAAAGCTAACAGACTTGCTATGCAGGAATTCTGCTCCTGAAAGCATACCAAGTTCCATGGTGCCCAGACATAAAAGTATAAGAATAATTGTCAACGTGTTCTACAATTCGTCTTAGAGGCTCATTAGCCTCTAGGACTAATGTGTCTGAAGTATCCAGGATGATTTCGTTTCTGCCAAGAGATGATAGTAACTGAAGCCCCCCAGTCTTTCTCACAAGTTTTTTGTTTACTTTTTTTTTTTTAAACTCAGGGTCTGGGCACTGTTTTGAGCTTTTTCACTCAAGGCTAATGCTCTACCACTTTGGGTCACAACACCACTTCTGGTTTTCTGGTGGTTACTTGGAGATAAGAGCATTTGTAAGGAAATGGAAAGACTTGGAAAAATTCTATTAAGTCAAGTAAACCAGACCTAAAGAAACAGGTTACGTGGTTTCCCTCATTTGTAGTAATTAGAATGTGCCTATTGAAGGATTGACACCCGCCACCCCCCACCCCCACACCCCCTACCGTCCGAGGTCCATACGGACCCAGACAAAATCCCAGGTGCCTGTGAACTTGTTTGATGTGCAGGGCAAGCCACCTGAGCCCAGCTGTAAACATCCCATTGTGGGCCCAACTGAAAGGCCCCACCTCCCTTGAGCTGGTGGCTTTTTCATTAACCTCTGCCTCCTTGCTCAGACCTCATAAAGACCCAGCTCCGGTCCTGATTCTCTAGCACAACCTCCCAACCCTTGGGAAGGTCTGTGTCCCTCACCGTTCCTCAATAAACAGTCCTCACCTGTTGACGATCAAGTCCAGCCTATTCCTGGTCAGTTCTCCTCCATTTTCCCAACACCTGTAAATCTACAAGTAAACACAATGGATGATAAAGGACAAAAAAATACACTTGCACATGATAAATTAAACAGGACTCTAAACAGTCACACAGTGAGACCAAATGAGGGTATTCTTAGAAGAGGGCTCAAGCTATGTACATGTACATATATGATCATACAAAATGATATTTATCAAAATGAACTCCAAAAAATGGAAACAAGAGTTTTCTTTTTTTAATTTATTTTATTTTATTTTTTTATTGTGAAAATACTGTACAGAGAGGTTACAATTACATGGGCAAGATAATGAGTACATTTCTTATCAAGCATTGTAGCCTCCTCCTTTGTTTCCCCTTCCCATCCCTTCCCATCCTCC